AGACCACTTCCCTGAGTAGCAGCAGTTTGAGAGGACCTAATAGCCCTGACCCAGAAGAGGGACTCTGCCCAGCCCTGTGGTACCTAAGAATGACTGTTGAGGGCAGAGTGACTAGATTAACAACTGAAGGAGACAGCCACAGACAATAGACTCCTGGAAGTCTCAAGCGGACTGCCTAAAGTCAGACGCAATCAACAGCTAACATCATGAGAGGCAGATCCAGAAAGAAAAAAAAAGATGGTCTCCTACCATAGAATTTCACACCACAAAGTCAGGAAGTCAAGAAATATCAATTTAAGAAGCAGGAAAAAAAAAGAGTCTCACAAATAATGGGAAGACAAACATCCCACAATCGAGGGAAAGGAGGAATCCTCACAAAGAGAACTAAATGAAATAGACACAAGTAAACTATCAGATATTGAGTTTAAAACAATGGTTCTAAGGAAGCTCAATGAGCTCAGTGAGCTCAGAAAGAATTACAAAAAACTACAGGGAAACTACAAGGAACTTACTGCAAACTATATCATCATGAAAAAGGACATAGAAACTATCAATAAGAGGTGAGAGGAAATGAAGAATACAATTTCTGAATTGAAGAACCCAATAGAAGGAATCAGAAGATTGCTAGATGAAGCAAAGGATCAAATCAGTGAACTGGATGACACTGACTTGCTACCAGAAAGAGCAAGAAAATGAAAAAAGACTCAGAAAGGATGAAGAGGTGTTTAGGGAAATGCCGGAAACCTAAACTATTCCAAAATTCCAATGAAATGTAATAATATCCATATAATATGGATGCCAGAAGGAGAAGAAGAGGAGCAAGGGATAGAAAACCTGTTTGAAAAAGTAATAATGGAAAACTTCCCTAATTTGAGGAGAGAAATGTCACACAAGTCCAGGAAGCACAAAGAGTCCCATTCAAGAAGAACCCAATTAGGCCCACTCCAAGACACATCATAATTAAAAAGGCAAATATCAAAGACAAACAGAGAATTTTAAAGACAGCAAAGGAGAAACAGGATGTAATATACAAGAGAGCCCCAAATGGGTAACTGCTGAGTTGAAACACTACAAGCAAGAAGGGAATGGCAAGAAATATCCCTGTCATGAAAAGCAAAGACCTGCAACCAAGGCTATTCTACCCAGCAAGGCTCTCAGTTAAAATGGAAGGTGAAGTAATGAGTTTCCCAGACAAAAGAAGGCTAAAAGAATACACCTCCACCTAACCAGCACTACAAGATACGCTAAAAGGACTGCTTTAAGAAGATGAAGAGAAAGAGTGAGAAAGAGAGGAACACAGGTACAAAGGCAAAAAAATGAATGAGTCCCTATCAATAATAACTCTAAATGCTAATGGATTAAATGCTCCAATTAAAAGACATAGGGTAGCTGAATGGATAAGAAAACATGACCCACACATATGCTGCCTACAAGAGACCCACCTCAGAACAAAGGACCTGCAAAGACAGAAAGTAAAGGGATGGAAAAAAGTACTCCAAGCAAATGCACAGGAAAAAAAAAAGCCAAGGAAGCAATACTTATATCAGACAAAATAGATTTCAAAACAAAGGCCATTAAAAGAGACCCAGAAGGACACTTTATAATAGTCAGAGGAAGAATTCATCAAGAACACATAAACATCGTAAACCTATATGCACCCGACATAGGAGCATGCAAATATATGAGGAAAATCTTGGAGCGCTTCAAGAAAGTTATAGACAGCAACACACCGATAGTAGGGGATTTTAACACCATACTGTCAGAAATGGATAGATCTTTAAACAAAACATAAACAAGGATATTATGGAACTGAATGACGCATTAAAGCCAATGGAATTAACTGACATATAGAGAACCTTTCATCCCAAAGAAGCAAAATACACATTCTCTTCAAATGTACATGTGGTTCATCATCTCAAAGATGAACCACATGATAGGATGCAAAACAGGTCTCAACAAATTCAAGAAAATTGAAATCATAACAAGCATTTTCTTGGACCACAAGCCCTTGAAACTAGAAACTAACCTCAAGGAAAAAACTCGAAAGCATTCAAACTCATGGAGACGGAATAGCATGCTATTAAACAACGAATGGGTCAATAATGAGATCAAAGAAGAAATCAATTAGTTTGTGGAAACAAATGAAAATGAACACACAACAGTCCAAAACCTATGGGACACAGCTAAGGTAGTCCTGGGAGGAAAGTTCATAGCCATACAGGCCTACCTAAAAAAGGTAGAAACATTTCAAATAAACGGCTTAACCCTACAACTTCAAGCACTGGAGAAACAAAAGCAAACAAACTCAGAACAAGTAGATGGAAGAAAATAATCAAAATCAGACCACAACTGAATAACATAGAGACGAAAAGAACAATTCAAAGGATCAACCAATCCAGGAGCTGGTTCTTTGCAAAGATAAACAAAATTGACAAGGCTTTAAGCAGAATCATCAAGAAAAATAGGGAGAGGACCCAAATAAATAATATCAGAAATGAAAGAGGAGAAAGTACAACTGATACCACTGAAATACAAAGGATTGTAAGAAATTACTATGAACAATTATATGCCACAAAATTTGAAAACCTGGGTGAAGTGAACACAGTTCTAGAAAAACATAACCTTCCAACACTGAATGAAAAAGAAGCAGAAAGCATGAATATATCGTTAACAGTTGGTGAAATTGAAGCCGTAATCAAAAAACTCCTGGCACACAAAAGCCCTGTACCAGATGGTTTCCCAGGAGAATTTACAAAACTTTTAAGGAAGATCTAACCCCTGTCCTTCTCAGACTATTCCAAAAAACCCGAGAAGACGGTAGATTCTCAAACTCTTTTTAAGAGGCCAGCATCATCCTAATCCCAAAACCTAATCAGGACACAAAAAAGAAAGAAACTATAGGCCAATATCTCTGATGACCATAAATGCTAAAATCCTCAACAGAATATTGGCAAATCACATTTAGAAATTCATTATAACGATCATCCACCATGATTAAGTGGGATTCATCCCTGAATGCAGGCATGGTTCGGTATTCGCAAATGAATAAATGTAATACATCACATAAACAAAATAAAAGCCAAAAACCACACGATCATATCAAGAGATGTAGGCAAAGCATTTGATAAGGTAGAGCAACCACTTACGATGAAAAACAGTCAGCAAAGAGGGAATGAAAGGGGTATACCTCAACATAACACAGGCCATATATGAAAAAATTACAGCCAACATCATACTCATGGGCAAAAACTAAAAGCTTTCCCACTAAGACTGGGAACAAGAGAAGGTGCTCTGCTTTCATTGCTTCTTTTCAACATAGTATTGGAAGTGCTAGCCACAGCAATCAGACAAGAAAAAGAAATAAAAGGCATCCAAATTGGAAACGAGGAATTAAAACTGTCATTGTTTGCAGAACATGATAGTGTACATAGAAAACCCCATAGTCTCCACCAAAATATTACTCAACCTAATAAGTGAAATTGGCAAAACAGTGGGATACAAAGTCAACATTCAGAAATCGAAGGCATTGTTCTACACCAACCATTAAATTTCAGAATCAGAAATCAGGAGAAAAACATCCCACTTACTAGAGCAACAAGAAACATAAAATACCTAGGAAAAAAGTTAACGAAGGAGGTAAAAGACCTGTATGTAGAAAACTATACAACACAGAAGAAAGAAGTTAAGGAAAACACAAATAAATGGAAGCATGTGCTGTGTTCACAGACTGGAAGAATTACCATGATCAAAATGTCCATACTACCCAAAGCAATTGATTGCTTCAACGCAATCCCTATTAAAATACCAATGACGTATTTCACAGATGGAGAGCAAACATTTCAAAAATTTATATGGAACCATAAACAACCTCGAATGGACATAGCAATTTTGAGAAAGAAGAACAAAGTAGGAGGGATCATAATACCTGACATCAAACTATATTACAGGGCCACTGTAGTCAAAACAGCCTGGTACTAGCATAAAAACAGACACATTGCTCAATGGAACAAAATAGAGAGCTCAGAAACAAACCCATGTCTCTGTGGTCAATTAATATTTGACAAAGGGGACCAAAGCATGAAATGGAATAAAAATAGCCTCTTTAACAAACAATGTTGGGAGAGCGGAACAGCTACATGCAAAAAAGTGGAATTCAACCAGCGACTTACACCATACACAAAAAGAAACACAAGATGGATAAAAGACTTAAATATAAGTCACCATGCCATAAAAGTCCTGGAGGAGAACATGGGGAGGAAACTCTCAGATATCCCAACCAGCAATATTTTCACAGATTTGTTCCCTAGAACAAAGGGCAAAAGGGAAAGAATTTACAAATGGGACTTCATCAAAATAATAAGTTTCTGCACAGCTAAAGAAAACATCAGCATATTGAAAAGGGAACCAAATGCATGGCAAATATACTTTCCAATGATACCTCAGACAAGGGTTTGATCTCCAAAATATATAAAGAACTCACGTGACTCCACTCCAAGAAGACAAACAACCCAATTAAAAAATGGACAAAGGACCTGAACAGACACTCCTCCAAGGAGGATCTCAACAGAGCCCAGAGACATATGAAAGGATGATCATCATCACTAGCTGTCAGAGAAATGCAAATTAAAACCACAATGAGATACCACTTCACACCTGTCAGAATGGCCAGCATAAACAGATCAACAAACAATGGGTGCTGGCGAGGATGTAGAGAAAAAGGAGCCCTAGTACATTGTTGGTGGGCATGCAGACTGGTGCAGCCACTGTGGAAAACAATATGGAATTTCCTCAAAAACAAAATGGAACTGCCTTTTGACCCAGAAATTCCACTGCTGGGATTATACCCTAAGAATCCCCAAACACCAATTCGAAAGAACCTATGCGTCCCTATGTTCATAGCAGCACAATTTATGATGGCCAAGTGATGGAAGCAACCTAAGTGCCTATCAATAAATGAGTAGATCAAAAAGCCATGGTACAGTTTGATCTCTCGCATTACCATGGAGCTGCAGCCTCATCTCAGAGCTACCTGTTTGCTGGGCTTCAGTGTCCTGCTCCTGGTCACCACTTCTGATGGACATACTGGGCTTGGGAAAGGGTCTGAAAAGTGAAGCTTGAAGTATGGGACCATCCATGGTCCCATACACCCAGAAAGAACACCATGCTCTTGACAGAGGAAAGCCTTTTTTGTTTTGGAGATCATATTCATTGGAGGACACTAGAAGATTGGAAGAGAGAAGCAGCTGCCAGTGGAATTCCCCTGATGGTGATTATCCATAAATCCTGGTGTGGATCTTGCAAAGCTTTAAAGCCCAAATTTGCAGAGTCTAAAGAAATTTCAGAACTTTCTCATAATTTTATTATGATAAATCTTGAGGATGAAGAGGAGTCCAAGGATGAAGATTTCAATCCTGATGGGGGTTATATTCCACGAATTCTTTTCCTGGATCCCAGTGGCAAGGTGCATCCTGAAATTATCAACGAGAGTGGAAACCCCAGCTACAAATATTTCTATATCAATACTGAACAAGTTGTTCAGGGGATGAAGGAAGCTCAGGAAAGATTGATGGGTGATGCCTACCAACAGAAACATCTTGAAGATGAGTTGTAACATGAATGTATCCCTTCTTTCTTCAAAGTTAGTATTCTGGGAGGAAAGCAGCAGGATAAACGGACCAGGAAACCTTGCTCCTTCCTGCATAGGAAGAAGCTCTCTCACTGTGGAAGAGTTCTGCTAACAAGCTGATCTTCCTGTTTGTGGATCCAGCAGCATGTGGCTGACTTCCTTCTCTTTCCCCTCTGACCGAAGTCTATTTGTCATTGAATGTAAGGGACAACACCTTTTGACACAAAACTTGAGCCATTTGGAGGTTTACTCCTCTCACTTAAGTATTTGAATTTTTTTCCATATCCTCCCACTTTACTCACCTTGGTGGTGAAAGGAGACCAGGAGCATCTTTTCTACAATGTTAAAATTGTAGAAATTGCTAATCATTTCAAACAACAAATTCTGAATGTAAATGAGTAATTCTGTCCCCACCAAGGAGACCACCCTGATTCTCTTCTTCTCTTCTTCTCCTGGGAATGATTTTGGCCTTCTTTTGGAATCCCTACAACTTCCTCTTCCTGCCTGGGCTTCCCTGTGTACACACCTGCATGCGGGAATGGCTGTGTGCCTGGCCTCAGCCCAGCAGGAAGCATGCTTTCCCTGTTACTTTTGGAGAAACTCAAACCTTTAAGCCCTAGGCAGAACCATTTTTGTCAAGTTGTCAACCATATTTTTGTACTGGGGTTAACTAAATAAATATATATTGATTGTACCATTAAACTTTGATAAAACTTTAAAAGGCCAAAAAACAAAAGTGCTATGGTACATTTATACAATGGAATACTATGCAGCAAAAAGAAAACTGCTACCCTTCACGACAGCATGGATGAAAGTGGAGGACATTAGGCTAAGCAAAATAAGCCAGGGGTGAAAGACAAATACCATACATTCTCACCCATATGTGGAACCTAATCAACAAAACAAAGAAACAAGAAAAATATAGCCAGCAACATTGAAATAAAAAAGAAACCTACAGTAATGAGACAGAAGGAGGGGGTGGGTAACAGGGAAAAGAAGGGGAATAGTCAAGTCAGAGAACATGTATAAAGGACCAACAGACAAAGCCAAAGTACGGAACGATTAAGAGTGGGGGGTGGGGGTGGGTAGCAAACCTTTGTCCATTTTTTAATTGGGTTGTTTGTCTTCCTGGAGTGAAGTCATGTGAGTTCTTTATATATTTTGGAGATCACAGCCTTGTCTGAGGTATCATTGAAAAATATATTTACCATACAGTTGGTTCCCTTTTCAATATGCTGATGTTTTCTTTAGCTGTGCAGAAACTTATTTTGATGAAGTCCCATCTGTTTATTCTTTCCCTTTTGCCCTTTGTTCTAGGGGACAAATCTGTGAAAATATTGCTGGTTGGGATATTTGAGAGTTTCCTGCCTATGTTCTCCTCCAGGACTTTTATGGCATCCACCACAGAGGAATGTGGTGGCAGGAAAATGGAGACAAATGTACTTGAACAATAAAATAATTAATTAATTAGTTAGTTGCCTAATTAATTAATTACAATAATAAAGTATACAATGCAGTGGGTTTTAGCATTTTCTTAAAATTATGCAACCATCACCACTAATTCCAGAATATTTTCATCACCCCAAATAAGAAATCCCATGTTCATTAGCAGCTCTTTCTTATCCCTACTCTACCCTACCCCTAGCCAATACAATTTTTAATAGAATTATTTTATCTCATCAGTTGCATTTTGGAAATCCACCAAAAGGTTGCATTTTCAGATTTAGTTCATTTGGTTCATGGAAATGTCTGCCATGAAACCGTTTGGCAAAGCAGTACACATTGTCAAACCAGGTAGCCAAAGCAGATTTAGTTTCCATTAGAAAAAATCTGACTTCAGTTTCAAGTATGTTAAGATGTATCCCTACCCAACCATCTCACTTTTGAATTGTAATTCTGGTGCAAGAAAGGGATGTATAGCAAGATAATCAGTAGACCAACTGTCTTAAAAACTGAGAAGGCACAGCACCATGCCATCAATTAATTGTCTCAAAAACAAGGTCTTTGTTATTATTGCTTATTGGTGCCCTCTTCATATTTGTGGAATCTTTCTTTAGGGGGCATATATTCTTTAACATTATTGAGAGGATGGAAGAAGAGAGGTTGTTGAAAATAAATTCTCACCACTCCTGCTGTCTCACTCTACAAAATACCTGAATTCAGAGCAATACAACCAAGGGCAAAATACCTTTTTCTGAACACATTTCACCCTTAGCAGAACTGCCCACAGCCCAGGGAAAGCATGGTAGACAGAGATGCACCGCAAAGGTCTCTACGGAGGATCCCCAGTGTCAGGGAGTGAGGCCAGAGGATGGCCTCCAAGTGCCACCGCCCTCAGGGCTGGCCACAGCCATCAGGAAGCCAGCCATCAGCCTTTCCTGCCCAGCGAGCACCGTCCTGGTGGGCAGTGTTTGCTCCAGGGCTCTCCATGAGGTGGCCAAACCTTTGTCAGGCCTGCATCTTGGCTTGACTTCTGCCCAGTCCTGCTTCCTCCCCTTTCCCTTGGGAGGTGTTGATCCCTAATAAATATCTGGCACCCCAAACTGCCTCAGCTTCTGCTTCCGGAGAACTCAGCCTGTAAAAGAAAGATACTAGGTTCTTTGCAAGTCAGAGGCATTCAGTTACAGAAGGTTTGTCCAAACCAGTATGTTGAATTGTAATTTTATTGCCCCAAAGATTATTATACCCCTTCACAAGACCCCATGGTGAAACTCCGAATGAGTGAGAGGCCCACATCTTTCTTTAGCCAACTGAATGAGAAGTTGGGGAAAGTGAGGAGCCAACCCTGTCACAGAGATTTTCCAGTCAATGTAGAATTTGAGCATCTGAAATTGATTCTTTTAAAACTAGCTCAATGCATGTACCCCCTGGGAAGTTTTTGGACTCATACTTCAATTCAAATCTCCTGCCTACAGCAAGCTGTCTGTCCTAATAATCACACACTGTATTTTAATTGACCTATATGAACACCTGCCTTCTCCATTTTCAGCTTCTTAAGAGAAGAGACAGTTTCATTCACTCATTCGCTCCTTCAGTCAATAGGTCAGTCAGTCACCAGGAACTTTTATTTTAAACAATATGTCTTGAGTATTCCCTCTGTGCTGAGGGCACAGAGATGAGCAACACCTGACCCTGGCCCTCAAGGAGCACACAGTTTTGTGAGATGCAGGAAAGAGTGAAGGAGTGGAAAGAAGCCAAATAATCCCATTTGACAACCTCACTTGGCTGTGAGAACCAGAACAGACCAAGACTCAGTAACACTGAAAACAGAAAATGTCTATTTTTATTATTTAACTCCTTGAAAATATGTTCCTTTAGTCAGAGTAACAGTTGTCAGCTGTTTATCAGATAAAATTTTAATTAACTGAAGAAAATGATAGAGAAATATCAGATCACCTAATAGTTTTCCTTTTATTTGGGTATATTCAAGTTCAGATTTTGGTAAATAGATTAATTACAGAAGCTCCAAAAACTTTAGTCTTTACTTTAAGAGTTAGTAAAATATGGCCTAATTTAAATTTAAATTTATCTCAAACTTCTGGTGGTTAATGGTACTTCTCTCTCTCTCTCTCTCTCTCTTTTCTTTTTTTTTTTTTTTTACCAATTTTCACCCCAAATTTCAAAGTACTCTTAAAGAAAGATACTATTGAATAACAAAAACAACTAATGTTTATTGAGAGTTTATTATTATGTTCAGACACTCAGCTCAGTGCTTTTAACTTTCATTATTATTTACCCCTTGAGATAATCCTATGACTCAGATATTATTATTGACTCAGATATTATTATTGTCTCAGATATTATTATTATTGTCTCGACTTTTACTCAGGTATTATAGATCGAGGAATCTAAGCTTGGAGAGTTTAAGAAGCTCCCCAAGGGCATCCTGCCAGCTGGTCAGGGAGGAGTGGAGAGTAGAGTTGCCACCTGGCTTCATGTCTCACCCAACTGTGCCCAGGTGCCCTGCACAGGTCTCAGGCACCCAGAGTCCTTCTCAGGCTCATCAAAGCACCACAGGTTCATGTCCCAACAAAACAAAAAGACACAGGCCAGAGTCACCTGCGAAGTCCTAGGCTGGAAAGAAACCGCATCTATAAGCAGGTGATTAGAAGTAAAGTTTTCAGTAGCCACTTAAGCTGTAGCTCTCTCTAGACCAGCCTGTTTCCAGAATAGCAGAAAACATTCCCTAAGTTCCCTTTTTCTCTTGACATATCAGTGCTGGAGGCCCAAGGTCTCTCCTCTCAATGTTATCCATATGCTGAGGGCTCAAACTGTCAATCTCCAGCCTGGGCCTTGCCCATAACCTCCAGCCAAGTGTTTCTACCAGGCCCTTTTTGCATTTCCACTTGGGTTCTCACACTTAACATATCCAAAGAGGGATTCTGGAGAAGCCCTATACTTCTCAAAAGCCCTATACTTCTGCGCAGTCTTAGTGCACAGAAACTTCATCCTCCTAATCTCTTAGGAAAAAATTTAGGATCATCTTGACTCTTTGCATTCTCTCACATCCTACACAAAATCCATCCAGAATATCAGAATCTACCCTGGCAGATGTGGCTCAGCTGGTTGGAGCATCGTTCCATGAACTGAAAAGTCATGGGTTGGATTCCCCGTCAGGGCACATGCCTGGGTTGTGGGTTCGGTCCCCAGTTGGGGCACGTGCAGGAGGCAACTGATCAATGTTTCTCTCTCACATCAATGTTTCTCTCCCTCTCTCTCTCCCACCTTTCCCCCTCCTCTTTAAAATCAATAAGCATGTCTTTGGGTGAGGCTTAAAAAATAATAACGACAATATCAGAATCCAATCACTGTCCAAGCCACCATCATCTCTCCTGTTTATTGCAATGGCTCCCTAAGCATTTCCCTGTTTCTGTCCTGGCCTCCCTTCAGTCTGTTCTCAAACATCCAGCCAGTGTGAGTGCATTTAACCTTAAGTCAGAAGATATGACCGCTCAAACCTGTTTTTGCTCCCATTTCACTTAGAGAATAAGCCCGACTCGTCTCAGTTGGCCAATAGACCCTGAACAGTGAGCATTGCTACCCTATGCTGCCTCTTCTGCCCTCACTCTGAGGTCCCAGCCATGTGACCTCC